TTTGTCAATGAGCTCAGAATCTGTTGAGCAGCAAATACTCCAGCATGGTCTTGTCAGTCATATCTCCTTATTCTTGACCTGTGATCAGTCAAAGCTGACTCCCGTAGCTCTTGTTGGATGCAGGGTTGCCAAGTCCGCATTTTTTCCACAGAATTGGGCTACTTTTAAACTGTTGCCATGGGTTGATTTTCCCAAGTGGGTTAAAGGTTTGAAATATTGCATAAATTACATTTGACTGAAATGCTTGTATTGAAACATTTTGCATTCTACCTATGATAAAACTTTCATGGACTTCTACATTAACTGTTCCCTCCTGGTGGGATGACCTGCCCAGCTCAATCCAAGCAGCTGAGTCCTTAATATTTTCAAGAAACGGCTGAAAACACATCTCTTTCATCTTCATTTGACCCTCTAACTCTAGCACTCTCTATTCTAATGCTACTTCTAATTTTATCTGCTTGTTTTTTTAAATTAAAAAACTTGACCCTCTAACATTTGCACTCTCTATTCTATTTCTATTCATCATTTTTTGGGGGGATTTTTTATTTATTTATTTATTTTTAATAAGTATCGGTTCAGGCACCGTTTAGGCACCGGAACCGTTTTAAAAGTATCGATTTGACACCGGTATCGAAAAAAACCCAAACGATACCCAACCCTACTTAGAGCTAGCAAATGTTTAACATTACAAGCAATGTTGCCCAGTCATACTCACACAGAAACAATTGCACAACAAACAAAGTGTACGTGTGAGAGAAAATCAAATCAGTAGGGTTTTAAATTCAGTAAAGTATATTTAAATATTATGCAAAACCACAGCCATGGCATAAACACATTGTTCTGTTTGCTTGATAAATGTGTGTTGGTAGATCCTCTGTGTCTTTACGTCTAACAATTAAATTGGCCTTAGGTCTGGTTAATTTAACTCTTAAATGCATACATTGGGTCTTTAGCGACCCGGGACGTCATTCACTACCCTCTCCCTCTTTCATTTTTTAAAGTTAGACATCAGCTTTCTTAGTATTCCTCAATCTCCCTGTTGAAAAAAACAGCATATGCTGGTTAGGTATGTTTTGAAGCATGGCTGCTGGTTTGAGCTGGTTTAAGCTGGTCCTGTGCTGGTCATGAGCTGGTTTAAGCTGGTCATGTGCTGGTCCCAAACTGGTCATGTGCTGGTCCTTAGCTGGTCATGAGCTGGTTTAAGCTGGCTTCAGCTTAAACCAGTTCAAAACCAGCAGCCATGCTTCAAAACATACCTAACCAGCATATGCTGTTTTTTTTCGACAGGGCTGTTCATTATAAACAATATAAGAAGAAAACAATTTTTAAAAGTGTGTGTGGTGAATAAGCTGTCAGCGATCAAAATATTGATTTTGAAGTCATTGAAAGTTTTGAGAATATGGTTGAGATCGCAAATATGAGCCAGATGCTGAATGTGCTGGGAAATGCACTCTGACGCTGACAGTGACGGTAAAATCATCTGCTCAAATTGAACCCTTCTAAGTTTCAAAAGGTAACAAAATATGCTTTATTTTATTTTATTCTTTTGTAATTGCTATTAAAATATCAGGAGAATTTTATGCTATTGCAGAAGTTAGAGATTCATCCGTGATGGATATGTCCGGGTCGCTAAAGACCCAAATATGTAATAATGATTGGCGAAACATCCATGCATTTAAGGGTAAAAAATTCACCCATTATTTATGTATGTATGTTCTTACACTGAATTGCCATCTGCAGTGGCCATATGTCCGAAGTAGTAAAAATCACAGACAAACTGGGCACTACTAGGGCACAAGGATTAAGCCTTATCAACCTGATCTTCTTTTCTCCTGTTTACGGAACAGTCAACAAAGTCACATGCACTGATAAAAAAAAAAAACTTCCTTTAAAATATTATTTAAATATTTCATATATTAACCTAGCTCATTGAATTCCAGCTGTCAAGAACACATTATCTGGTAATAAATACCTTAATTAAAGACCTGTTTTTAGGCTGCTTTGAATTGAATAAGAGTTTGTTCCTGGAAAACAGATGTCTGTGTGGCTTCCGTGTCCTCGCATGCTCTAATCTGTCCTCAGAGTGACTCTTACTGACTGTTCCTGTCTGTGGCTGTGGCTATATAAAGCTTAGATCTGTGCTCAGCCTGACGGGATAAAAGCCACCTGTAAACATTATGTATCACTCACTATGACTCACCTCACACCTGTGCCTTCTGTTAATGCCATGCTGATGAACATATGCTAATTATCTATAATTATTTAACATTTATGATAGGTAGTGTAGTTTAGAGCACAGATATTCAACTGGTAAGCCTATTCTGTATCACAGGCAGCAGGAATGATGCAACTAATAAAATGTAAATAATTAAAAATTGTATTTTGGCACAAATGGCATTGTATGATGTCAGGAAATAAAATGAGGTTAAATTGTGTTCCTAATAAGCAGATGTGTGTGTCTGCAGGTTGTGGGAAGACTTACACTATGCTGGGAACGGACCGAGAACCTGGTATCTACGTTCGCACATTAAACGACCTATTCAAAGCCATTGAAGAAACCAGCGATGACATGCAGTACAATGTCTCAATGTCCTACTTGGAGGTGAGATATTAATTTGGTTGCTAAATAGGATTTTAGCAGTAACTTGTCTTTTTTTCCCCCTCACATATAACCTGGAGATTCGATATATAGAGCTTGTAAAGATACTGTCACCCTACTGTCATGCTAAATAAATGCACACAGTAAAGTACATTTTTAAAACAATTAAAAAAATGGGTAACAGCTTAAGTGTTATGTGATAAGGTAATCATCAGGCCCGTGCGGAGCGACCGATAGCACGTCTGTTGATCAGCTCTGTTTGCGTGAGGGAGGGGTAATCTTGTCAGCTTAGTGACTATCTCAGCATCTTTGATTACAGTGATGTTGTAATGATACTAGAAAGCTTGTTTCCCCACTGAGTTGTGATGGACTTGTCCAAAGTTTACTCAAAACAGATACATGCAACCCTGATCCCCTACTGCGTTAGCCTAGAAACAAATCACTATGCTTTTATGTGACAGGCCAAATAACACAGCCCTGCATCTTGAAAGAAAAATACCTGCTGACTTGCAAGGCCTAATATTATATAATTTGATAATGCTAAGTTCAAAAATATCAATTAAACTGTAGGCCCCTCTCTCTCTCTCTCTCTCTCTCTCTATATATATA